CAACTCATTTTAGTACGAACGTGCACCGGAGTAGTTCCATCGATCTTTTGTTTTGTTTTGCTGCACAAATGCAGCAGGCAAAACAACAAAATATTGACCAAAAAAGATAAATATACGTGAAAATTACTACCACGAAAAAATCTGAGTGTTCGTATTAGTCACTACTAGTAATGTTGTATCTTTTTTTAGGAAAATATTGTGCGGAAACACCCAATAGTATTATTATAATGATCACATCACTCTTTTAATGTACCTTAGTAATCGTGTATTGTTTATCGTTTGTACTTGTGAATAAAATAAATTAAATACTTACAAAGCAGACGAAATATCATTCTGCTCCTGAATGTCATTCCGTCTAGTGACACTGTTTCTGTCCTATTGCAATTGTCCTAATTTAACAGGCGGTTAAAGTAAGCATGATAACACAATTGATAAGACTTGTGTCGTCATAGGTATAACATTTAGTATTGTTTCCAGTGCAAAAAGGTCAATAATCTAGATACAATGATTTTGTTTCATTTTTAATTTGCAGTAATGTCACATAGGGGCTTGGGTTATATATGCAAACAACCGGCTTTATAGGGTCATAAAACCATATATTTTCTTTTGCATATAAGATAAACGTTCTCTTTCTTACATGTAGTCAATGAGTTCCCGGACCAACAGACACTTGGGGTAAAACCCATTCCCCGCATTGATCCGTCCCCGTCATTGTCTATTAAAAACTTCGACTTTTTAACTCGGATGGGGCATCGTATATACCCTGACACTCTACAAACGAATAATTTTTGTCGTTTGAAATTGGTTGACTCATTTATTTTTATGAAACGTTACTTTTCTGAAAAATATTCACCGAAGAAACAGCACAGACACTTTGAAAATTGTCAATTTCTGATTTAAAACGGTAATATATTTTCTTTTCTGGCGTTTTTTTTCCATCAGAGTTCGTTATTTTATGGTCAAAATACGATATTATAGGTAAGGGAACTATTTGACTCGTTATGGATTCATGGCCGTTTCAAGTCAAGTTATATATTTATCTTTAACTAAACTGTCAAAGGTGAATGCATTATGAGTATAAAACTTGTTTAAACATTCGATCCCACTTTGGTTCTTCATGTGTAATTTACAAGCATTAATATGGAATGCTATTATAAAAACTCCCTAGTTTAAAGGAACTCCACTGAAACATAAAAATCGAATTTTTTATATTGAACAAGCGAAGCACTAAAAACGGAAAAATCTTCAAGGAATAATAAATAAAGAAATACACTCAGAATCAAATTGATTGATTGAAGTGCATTGTTGTAGAGTAATGCACGGTTCGAGTTCAAAGGCGTCAAAAATGTAATCACGAAGGCCGATAATTACAAAGCATTTGAATTTTAAGTCGTGTATTATTATACTATAACGCAAGAAAATTAATATCTACTTCCATTCTAACATGCTAATGTGAAAGAGAATGGATAAAAATATGTTTAACTTCATTAAGTATAGAAGTTATTTTCCTGACGTCTTTTGTTTTATTGACGTCATAATTTTTATCTAATGTTAACATTTCTTTTTTAATCTGTGCGTATATCGTGAAATAATGTACTCATATGGAAAACAAGTGTTTGCACTATATGTAAAACATATGGTGTACTTTTCTTGTAAAACATGTGTGTCATATATGTTTAACATGTGGTGCATATTTACCTGTGTAGTTAAAATGTACAATGAATCAAAATGAGTTAATAAGTTCAAGTAAGAAAACCTTACTTCTTAAAAAAATCCTTTAGTTATTTAAATAGCAACTTGAAATTTATACTTCTTTTGTTAAAATCTAAAACCATATACATTTATAAGAAGTTGTGCTTACTTCTATAGTCACACTTTCGTGGTGTGTTGGAATTTAATTACCATTCTTATTTTTTTACTATACAACATATTACTTCTTTATTTAAGAATTTCACATTAGGTTTTTGCGGCAATATTATTATATGGGTGTCCTGGTGGGCACATATTGGTACATAAACTTTTCATGTTTTGACATTGTAGTAAACTAATCACAGGTAAAGTGAACATATCTAACAATGGTTTTCTTATCGTGTCATACACAGAACATTCCATGATTACGTGTAATTCATATTCAATACCATCTAGACAAAGTGGACATATCATTTCATGAAATATGTCATCGGAGTATATAGTTCTTTGGATTGAATATTGATCTGAGACTCATTAAATTTCGGAAGCTGTTTCGTTAGTTTCTGTAATCTATAATGATTTACACTCAGATTTTTATGATAGGAAATGTATGAAATCTTTAACTGATACATACGTCCCTGTGATACATATGGTAGCAAAGCAATCGCGAAGTTGCAAGCTTGAATCCTCAACAAACTAATTTGTTTCAAATTGCTTTAACCTTCTCTTTTTATTTATATGCAGCAAAAGTGAATGAATAATTTCTTTAATTGCTGGCGTCTTTTCTTTTAAAGATCATAGCTTTGATATATAGATATATTTCTAAATTTTCATAATTTCAATTTGAATAGTCGGACAATGGGTGATTGGCATGCACACAAACTTAGTAGGCAAGTTTTGCAAAATATAATAAAAGAACACAATGTTTCATTAAGATTCGAACCTTCAATTTGGAACTAAAAGTCTTAACTCTTTATCATTTGGGCTAGATTGGTCGGTAACTTTAATTTATGCATAAACCGTGTATACCTTTATGCCATACTTTAAATCCGTATGACTTACTTCGGACAAAAGACCATTAAATATTAAAATGTCTCAGGTAAAAGTTGCCAAACAATATAATCATATTACTAATCAAATAAAATCAAACAATACACATTATTTCGTTGGCTAACTTAATTAACCACGTTTTATGGATGCCATTTATTTGGTGGATTGACAAATTGGTTACAATTATCAGAAGCGCAACAAAATTCACAGTAAAACTGTCTCGTATAGATAAAAGCCTGGTCGAAAGTCGTACACTTGTCGTCCGATGAGTATTTCTCGAACCATCCTTTTTGACAATCATTTCTCGTTCCACATCTATAAATGATATATAATGTTTGCCTTACTTGCGTAAAACTTAACATGAATTAATAAGTGCAGTGTAAGGACGTTGCAACATGTGCCCGAATGCGAATTTGATAAAAGACACATACGCCTAAGAAATCACTGCAATATTTTGGTTCATTGGTATTCCTTAAATGTATAGAGTATAAAAAATTGGTACGCAATACTGTCTGATTACTCTCAACCAAGTTATTTCAAATTATAGCCGTAGGGTTAAAATTGACTGACTTGATCCAGGTGTCATTGGTTTTTCCTTTTTTTGTATATACATGTAGTTAAAGATTCGTTCAACTTCGTGACTTCATTATTTCAACTTCGTGAAGTCACGATTTCAACTTCGTGAAGATGAAATTTTAAATTCCTGAAGTTGAAAAGGTAAAGTTCAAAACTTGAATTCTTGAAGTTGAAATCATTAATTCTTGAAGCTGAAAGTCTATTATAGTATAGTCATTAAAACAATAAAAAAAAACACAAGCGTATATGAATTATAAACATGTATATTGTCATTCTTGTTTAATGATTAAATAGAACTTTGTCACGACACACTATCATTCATAAAAGATATATATACAATGTGTACATACTTCATTTCAACGAGTCTTGATGCATTCTGGAAGTTTGTGACTGTATTTATACAATACTGTTTCTCAAGTGGACAGTCTTCTGGAAAATTCACCTTTTCACATATCTGAGGTGGTCCTTGACACAGGAAACAGCTTCCTACAACAATGAAATTACGAAGACCTTTAGGGGCATAGTGGCTTACCGACACACAAAATACTGAAATGTGTTTGAATGTAATTGAAAAATATCAAAATAATCATATATGTGATAAAAATTATTGCAGTCGTTTCTGAAAACATTGATCTGCCCATTTTGCATACATTGTCTGGTGGTTGAACACAGCACAATGATATACCCGCCTTTTACTTTTTCTTCTCTTATACGAGTACATTGTATATAGAACTTCAAACTGTTATATTTGTTTATCACGCAGTGGATACAGCCTTTTGACAATATCAATGTGGCTGGATGTTAATTCGAGTCCTTCTTGGAACATTTCTATTTTGTGGTATGATAATTATATTTTCATAATTTCCGATGCGGAATTGCTAATCACAATCAGAACAATCTGCCTATCTTTTGAGCCGGGATGCCCTATAACTGATTTATCAGTCAATTCCTAAACGAAACGAAAAATAAATTATTCCAATGTATAGATTTACAACGATTTCCACGTTGAACAAAAGTGGAAAGGTATGTAGTTATGAATTAACAAACACTCAATGGAGCAAAATAAGTAGTGCAAGAACCCCAGCCATTTGTATATGGGCGCGGCACTTTTCCATTGAGATATTCTGCGGTGATACATATCTGTGGTAAAGAGATACAATTATACATAAAAATACTTTATAGATAGCTAAATTTATTTTAGTATTCAGCAATAACATGGTAAAACATATCCAATACATGATAAAACAATAAGAACAAATATCAATGCATAAGAAATGAACCATATCAAAAACATCATACCAAGGATAACACTAGAAAGAGAACTTAATCACTTATTTCCATTGTGGTCCTTAAGACTAAGACTAGAGGATAGACACCATTAAAAGAGAAAAATACCCATTAAGTAAATGTTTTTTAACAGATAATTTAAAATTGTACAATTTTGATTCCATCCTAACAGAAGAGGGTAGTTTATTCCACAATACACATCCATTGTAAGGGAAAGACTTTGATCCGAAACCTTTGACCTTAGGTAGCATATAACACCCATTTTCACTTGACCTGGTCCTGTAAGTATGAACAGAATCTAATGGAAAAAAGTTTTTTTCACATATATTCAGGGGCAAGTCCATGTTTAATTTTAAAAAAAACATTACAGAGGATAATTTGATCGACTTTTTTCTGGACAGGCAGCCAATTTTAAAATTTTTAAGTGTTCATTATCAATATGTGACCTAAAACCAATATTTGGAGTTCATCCTTCCAGTATTTAGTAACCCCTGGAAACCAGAAACAACATGCATAATCAAAATGACATTGGATGAGGGTCATAACCAGAAGTTTTTTAATGTGAAATGTGAGATAATCACGTTTTCTATACAGAAACTTTAACCATGCATTGGCATTTTTAATAATAGAACTTGCCATTGCTTCACCGGAGAGAGACTGATTAAGTGTTGCACTTAGATATTTGACATTAGAAGTTGACTGTATATCAGTCCCTTTACAACTGACATGAAGAGATGAATCTGTTTTTAACCTATGTTTATAACCAAATAATATTGTCATTGTTTTGCCTAAGTGAAGGGAAAATTTATTGTCAATTAACCATTGACTGACAGAATGTAGTTCATCTGTCAGTTTTTTTTCCAATAGATGACCTATTTTTACATGCAACAAGAATAGCAGAATCATCTGCATAAAGAAGTTTATTTTTAACAACAACCTGCATATCATTTACATAAATTGAAAATAATAATTGTCCCAAAATAGACCCTTGGGAAACACTGCAAGTAACCCCTTCACGTGAGGAAAAAGTACCAGATACATAAAGTTGTTGCCTATCAGACAAATATGACCTAAACCATTGTAAAACATCAGTACCAGAGCTGCATTACTGGTACTGGTACTGCAGTACGTACTGCAGCGATTTTGCAAGTACTGGTACTGATACTGAATTACTCTTACAAAATTTTGCTACTACTGGTACTGGTACTGCATTACTGTCTTAAAAAGTGGTACTGCTACTGCATTACCCAGTACTTTTGGTTTTGATAAAAATTAAAAATAGCATCAATTTTTCTCATAAAATAAAGCTGTAAATTACATTAACTATTTTTTATTTATGTGAAAAAGTAAGTTATCAAATCTATAGATAATTTTCTGCAATATTCCTTCAAATGTTAACATGGTATTCATCATAAAAAACACCAAAGACTTTAATTAAAAATTAAATTGAGATAAACAGACTCAATAACTCTTTCACCTAAAATATCCTTATTAAAATCTTTTGTTACTTTGTATTTACCAGTAAAAGAGCAAAATAATCACTAATTTATTGCTTCTATTCAAAATAATCCTATTTCAAGTGATATTGTTAGCACCATAAAAAGTTGTTTACTTTGGTATAAATTGAATAGAGGTGTGAAGGTGTGAAAGACAACAAAAGACTGTTGTGTTTTAAATCATGAAAGATGTTTGCATTGTATTTATACAGTTGACTGGTTACTGAACAATTAGATATGACATGAATATATGTTGGTAATATTGTTTGTAAGTTGTAAATATGTTATGTTAACTTTAAAGTAAATTATGATTTTATTTCTTTGCTGAATAATATTTGCAATTATTTGTTTGACACTGTATTTATTCAAACTTTGATGAATATATAAAAGTAATGGTACTGATACTTAATTACTTCACCAAAAAAAGTACTGGTACTGCAGTACCGAGCTAAAATCTAGTACTGGTACTGGTAATGGTACTGCATAATTTGCCAAGTACTGGTACTGGTACTTAAGTACTACACCCTTAGTACTGATGCAGCTCTGATCAGTACTAAGACCAATAGCTTCTAATTTCATTAAAAGGATTGAGTGGTCCACTGTATCAAATGCTTTTTGAAGATCCATTAAAATCATGCCTACAAGATTACCTGTATCCACATGACGCCTAATGAAATCAGATAGATGCGTAAGACAAGTGTCTGTGGAAAAACCACCTCTAAATCCTGATTGAAATTTATATAATATGTCCGTTTCTTTAAGATATGAAGAAATCTGATCATAAACAACCCTTTCAAAATTTTTTGAAGCAATGCTTAATATGGATACAGGCCTAAGTTGCCAACTTCAGTTTTATCAACAACTCTTGCTGCCTTCAAATCATCTCGTACTGTGCCTTGTATCAATGACTAATTTATAATGTGTGTTAAAGAGGAAAGGCAATAATAGATGCGCTATCTCTAACAAAAAGAGAAGAAATACCGCCCAGACCATTGGATTTGTTTGAACCTAGTTTATTCAGATACTTTATTACACGTTTTTCAGACATCAATGAAAAGGAAAAAATATTATGTGTAATTCTTTTTAATAAATAAAAAGAAGATACAAACTGTTTACCAAAAATGTTTATGCTGGAGGTAGTTTTGCAGTAAGATTTGATGCAACATTACAGTAAAAATTGTTAAATTCTTCAGCAACCTTTCGTTTATCAAAACAAATTTCATCACATATTTTTAATCCAATATTAATCTTAGAAGATGAATTATCCTTTTTAGATGGTAGACCAAGCTCCTTAACGGATTTCCATATAGTCGTATAATCATTCTTATGAATGTCACAAGAAGTATTAATTAAAATGGTTCTTTATTCCGTACACAAAATAAATTTCCCTTTTTGGTAACAAAGATTTCCACGCTTTGGTGATATGCTAAAATTTCTACAACCAACCACCGGAATAGGCGAGTTAATATTTTCGGAAAAACACACAGTTGAGAATGACTGATATTGTCCGGAATTTTCTTAAGTTTTAAAACAAGGTCGTAAATGAAATGAATATTATTGCAAACAAAGACCAGCTTCGCTTATTACAATGACCTCGCAATAAGTCATTTATAAATAAAAAATGGCACGATACTCTTAAAGAAAGCTATAAAGGATTTGATCCCTAGGGCAGGGGTCAAGTTTTACCTTAGGACCGTGATTTATACAACTTTTACCCACGTGTTAATGATAAACACTAAATATCTAAGCTCTCAGGCCACTGTTCTAGTGACACATGGCAAAGCCAGTTTTGACCCAAAGACATAATGTTTTCGTAGATGTCCACAAGCTAATAATATAACTTTTTTTGAAGGCCATCCCAAAACCATATCTTTAAAGTTTGGTACCAATACTGTTAAGAAAATTTTGTTTAAAAAGAAATTGTTAATTACGACGCTCAGCACACAACGGACATGACACGGCGGAGAACAAAACTTATGACATAACAAAAGCTCACACTGTACAATATAAACTGAAATAAATCATTATTGCACGTTTTCAGGTTTGATAGTCAAATTACCGCGTTTCAGAAATCAACAAATATTTATCAGTAGACTTATAGATATGAGGTTATTGAGAGAAATGTCTTACTTGGCACGGTTGGTAGAGGTGTCGTTGATGCAGTCATGCCAGTAGAAGTTGAATTTGTCACTGAAATATAGAAATCAATAAAATGATGTGTTTTAAAATTGAATGTGATTAAGCACGAGATTAAACTTGTTAGGAATTATTAACACAGTGATGATAATTTATGTATCTAATACCATCCAGAACAATACAACAACATTATTTCTCTGATATATTTGACAAATTAGCACACATGTGCACTACGATTAACCAATTTTAATGTCCCAAAAACATGAACCTGACAAGTGTAAAAATATAATAATATTTACAGTATTATAACCACTTATATTAATCCTATTGTTTTTTGTACAATATATGTTGCTCATTTACAAAAAGAAAACGAATTTTCAAACATGTTTAGGGGGAAAAGTAATTACGTGTCAGATGAGAACACAGGTTCTTATTGCATTTATCCGTGCTGCAACACTCGTGACATTGGGGTTGTTGTCGTTTGTCAACACCTCTACCAACTAAACCTGGTGTCACACCACATTGCTACTCGTAAACATACAGTTAATGTAAAGATATATTTGAGCCGCGTCATGATCATGACAAAACCAACACAGTGCGTTTGCGACCAGCATGGATCCAGACCAGCCTGCGCATCCGCGCAGTCTAATCAGGATCCATGCTGTTCGTTTACAAACTCTATTACAAGTAGAGAAACTGATAGCGAACAGCATGGATCCTGACCAGATTGCGCGGATGCGCAGGCTGGTCTGGATCCATGCTGGTCGCAAACGCACTATGTTGGTTTTGTCATGGCGCGGCTCATTTGTCTTAGTAAAAAGGACGCTCGGACTTAACTTAATAGAACTAAATCTGCAGGTCGACAAATATTTTAAACAAAATCTACTGATAATGAAGTGGCGTTATATTTCTTTAAATCTAAAACGTGCTGACATGATAGTAGACTGTTATAATTGTAGGTCAGCCGTTCTATTTTTAAACATATTCTATCAGTAACGAAGTTAACCTAATTTTGAAAATAAGTTATCAGTAATAATCACACTTTGTTAAGACACCGTTATCATGACAACAATATTCCAAACTATTCGTACAGACAATTATGGTGGCGGTGTTGGTAGTTTTCACTCAGAATCACGGCTGTAAACACATTGAATTTAACAAAGCACAGTTCAACCACCGCATCGTTCCTGAGCAAGCTGTCAAGCAGTTTACCAGTACTAGTTGCCTTCACTGTGGCAAAGTTCTGAAACTTCTGTACATACCAGAGCAGAGGTACTGTGCGAATGACCGTAGAAAGAATTTCATGATCAATCACAACGAAAGTGAACTGCGCCGTCCAGGGATCGAACCCGGGTCGCCCGATTCACAGTCCAACGCTTTACCTATTGAGCTAACCGGGCGGTTTTTTATGGATAAAGGCACATATATTTAGAATAAAGCCTTATGTCATTGAGGAACATTGTCGTCATACACTATACAATGTAGTCCATGTCATTGAAAAATGACCGCCGCGATAATTATTTTCTATCTGGTCTTTCATCAAATATTTACATGTCTTGAATTTATAACTGAAGAATTATTCTAACTTTTTTGAACTCACTTAATGTAGTTTGATTTAATAAACATGTACCGCGAGATGTTATAACTCAACCCCCGCCCCCAAGATCTAAATACAAATATAATTGAACACAATATGTATTTAGTAAGTGAAAATCTTACTTGGTTATCTGTACATCCTAAAGTTACGAATTGTCCAGACGACACTTTGTGCATGTAACACGACTGTGAATGAAAATTTTTTAAAAAAAAGGAAACTTTTCTGACAAGCATGGAAGCACGTAATAAATGTATTGAACCAATGTATCAATACATGAGCCGTGTCACGACAAAACCAACATACAGTAGTGCGTTTGCGACCATCAGGATCCATGCTGTTCGCTTGCAAACCCTATAACAAGTAGAGAACCGGTAGCGAACAGCATAGATCCTGATCAGATTGCGCGGATGCGCAGGCTTGTCTGGATTCATGCTGGTCGCAAACGTACTATGTTGGTTTTGTCATGACGCGGCTCATATATTTATTTCACATTACCTTATATAAAGCTTATTTGGTTTCATACACTGACGGTATGGTTTCATATATTGTAACAGTGGATTAATATAAAATAGCTTCCGGTTTAATAAGGGAGTGTTTTCAATTCATATATACTAGCAGTCGAAATGATCTTATATAAAATCCACATGGTTAAATTAATTGAAAACTAGAAATATTTTTAAAATTGATACTTGGCCTAAGTAACGCTGGTTATCTTGCAGATGTTATAGCTAAGTTTTCGATACATATAACATGAACATATGGCAAGAACTATCCTTTAGATTTTATTTTAGAACTATCCTTAAAATTCTATTGTAGAATGGCAAGAACCAATTTTACATTTTATTTAATAATGACCAATGAGATTCCGAGATTTATGTTGACCAATGATAATTCTTCTTATATTCAGTCCTTTCCTGTAAATTTTACAGGAAGTGAAACTGATTTTAGGCCGCCTTCGGTCGGAGAAATAGCTTTCCATATAAGAGATGTCTATCTGATCTGTATTCTCAATTACAGTTGCACCCGGATATCTTTTCCTGTCGGCTTAAGATATTGCTCTGTCACAAATTTACCTGACCATTCTAACATTGTACATTTGTGAGAACATTTACCTGCCCTGCCCGACAGTCTGTTATCGTCAAACAATCGCCAGGATCAGCTATGTTAGAACAGTTGTAACATTGAAGAGCTGCAATCGATAATATAAGTCTTATAAAAAGTTGGAACAAAACATTCGTAAATGAAAAAGAGTCCAATGTTATTTACAGAGTAAGCTTTATGAACAAGAAGTATCTTGAAAAAGTTACTCGGCCAAAGTCAGCCTGCAGAATACAGCTCAGTGCATGCTTAAAGACAGTAATCATGCCTCAGTGACAAATAACTTCCGATCGGCGACTGTTTCAATATCGACCGTTGTTTGTCCGGCGGCAGTGACAATCGAACGGCAGCAGCTGATAATTTTGCACATCGGGCGGGCGCCGTCAAGTTTTAATTTAGTACAACGTGTATGCTGTTAATTGATATAGCATTTAATGGTTAGATCTACATACGTCTTCCGAGTACAAATATGAAAATGTATTATGAACTTGTTTGGAATGTAATATGTCATGTGACATATGTTATGCTTAATTTAGTATATCCAAACGTTTTTTTAAAATTATCGAATTAGATGTCAGAGAGTTGTTCGTTGTTCCGTGTAAAATATATTTTTGAATTTAACTGTTTTGTTCCGGGAATTTTACCTTACCATGACGTATTCATTAATATGCCAAAGTACATGTCTAAGAATAATAATATTCAAATCAACTGAATATACTATAAACATCAATAATCATATTATATCATGAACACTGAGCATAATCTACTTAGAATACGAGAAAAGTTCGGAGTTGTTTATATGGTGTCTTATCACGTTTAATTCTTATGGGGAATAAGTTAGAAAATTAATGACAACTTAAAAGCAGTGTTAACTGTTATGAGGAAGCATGGTTCATACTTAAATATAAATATCCGAGATATCTAAATAGAAACTTCAAGTACAGATGTTTAATCAGGATGACAGATATAACCTAACTTTTATTTCCCTTCAATATCATATGTTACATATATTAGCTAAAGCTATGTTACAAAATTTCTAATTCATTGTCTAGCTACGACATTGTTTTGAATTTTTAGATAACGAATACCATATGAAATATATCATCCTTAAATAATTTACCCGCTGTTCCGTTAATGGAGAGTTGAAGAACTAAAGCTACACCTGAAATAAGAGGGAAGATCACTATTAATGCAAGCATCAATGTGTTTTAAAGTAATTAAAAAAAAACATCATTTTATCTGCTTATTTTTGACAAGGCTTTAAGTTGATGAAATTCATTTATCGGTCAGACTAAACCTATGCGCCACCTATGGTGGCTGATTTACGCCATGTCGTATTTTCACTTCTTTGCCTCAAAATGCGAAAATATGACATGGCGTAAATCATCCACCATAGCTATCTCATTTCATGTACGGATGTTGCTGTACGATCTAATCTACCTTTCTTTGTTCCGTGTCATGCAGCAGGCAACGCAAAAAAAATGGTGACCAAAAAGATTAATATGCATGACTACTGAGTAAATATGGCATGACTACCGAGTAAATACATTATAATTATGCATTATAATATTATACTACCGAGTGAAGAACATCACAACCGAGAAAAAAACACCTAAAGTTATTTCATATGGTGGCTGATTTGTGCCATTCGTGTTTTCGCTCCCTCTGATAAGCGTGTTTAACGCTCCGCTCCCCGCCGTTTGATTTCTTTTATCTCGATGACGTTTTATTTATTAAACTTCGCCCCGCGCCCTCGCCATTTTAACTTGTTAATTCTCGACCTTTCGCTTGTCGGGGTCGGAAAACGAAAACACGCTCATTAGCGGGGGCGCGGGGCGAAGTTTTATTAATTAAACTTCGTCCCGCGACCCCGCTAATTAGCGTGTTTTCGCCCCCCCCCCCCAATTTAAACTTCGCCCGGCGCCCACTCTTAATAGCGTGTTTTCGCTCCGCGCCTTCGCAATTTTAACTATTCAATTCTCAAATTTTCGCTTGGCGGGGTTGCAGGGCGAAAACACACATGGCACAGATCAGCCACCATAATTTCGTAAAAAATGTATCACTCATTTTTATGTGTCTGAGACAGTGTGCATTACTTTCTGGCATTTTTTATGTACAAAATAAATTGAATACTTACTCAGCAGACATAACATCATTTCCTTGTCCCTGTAAATCGTTCCATATAATGTCTTAAGTTTTAGGTAGAGGCGATCTTAGCGCTAAAGTGGAACACAAATGACGTCAACTATGTGTCCTTGTTAAAGGATTTATCACCAAACGACGGTTCAAATGTTAAACCTAAGGTCTTAAAATAGAATTACTCCCCTTTCAAATGTATAATCCACGCTGATACTCATACATGTAAATAATCGCTTAAAGATTTAAACTGTCTATAATCAAAGCACAGAAGGCGCTGAATTTGTTTGGGTCTCGGAACGTCAGAAAGGTGAAGGTTGTGAGATTATAAAACAATTTGTTTGAATAGTCACCAATGCTGTTTCCAGCGTTATAGCTATAGTAAATTGGTTATAAGACTAATTGCAACACAGATATTCAATTCAACGTTTATTTGGCTTAAACAATTAAATAAAATAAAAAAACAACAAAAAACCAACATGTATTGCCTGAACTGGGGTGTGAACTCCAGACCTCTCGCTTCCAAAGCTAGCGTGTAAACCCCTCGACCACGGGGTGTTATAACATATCAGCCTGAAGAATACCAAATTATTCTAAATAAGAGTTTGTAACCCTTATTAATTTTGATATATTTTGTTCACGGTAAACCTGTTGTTTAACACTGAAGTTAATAATCATGGAGCTGAGTATATGCATGTATATTTATAAGAACAACACAATATTAGAAATCTTCGACCAATCGGGAACTGTTTTTTTCGTTACGAAAATTAATGCGCCTGTCAATCTTGGCAATCTTTACGCAGTGATCTCCCCTTAATTTTTCCGTGTTAATGTACATATGAAGGCATTTGCAAATAAGAACATCAGGGTCTAAAATGTCGCTACCATCATTTGTTTGGTCTGACGACCCAAACAAATAAAAATGTTTAGCGCTTAATGGTTTCTTATTGGCCTAAATCATCCTATTTATTTCGTAACTGCGCAGGTTTTGACCAAATGCGACGTTTAAATAAAACAAACACTGTCTCGACTTTTCCGACTTTTCTCAAACATATTTATTCCCAAAAGTATATATAATGCTATTACAAATAAAAAACAAAGTTATTTTAACATAATGGAAAAGACAAGTCTTATAGAAAACTTCTCCTTTCTTCGTGCTTGATAGTAAAGCAAGAGCCTTGAAAATGTAGAACATTCTTAGTTCAAAAGGAGCCGTATATCTGTTAAAACCATGTAAGAATTATGGGCCTTGTACAGTGACCAGTGTGTACAGCTCCCACCCATTTCGTTCAGTGGTTTTTGAGAAACAAACTTTCACGCAAAATCTTAACCAAAGTGTGACGCCGACGCCTGTGTGAGTTCAAAAAATTCTCCGCATTTCATGGAAAATTAGCGGCCAGAAATGTTCAAACTTGACTAAAATGTAGTCAAAGACTAACGGCTGTATATCGTCAACAGACTGGATGATCACGTGGCATTTGTTAAAGGTAACATTAATATCTTTTAGCATTTGAAAAATAAACATAAACTATGTTTGAGACATTTCTTTTTTCAATTCCAATAGAACATTTTTTTCCAATGCAGCTCATGTACTTTTCCGAAATGCAACGCAGCTCTTGGTATTTTTCCAAATGCTACGTAGCTCTTGTATATTTCCCAAATGCAACGCAGGTCTTGCACTTTTCCCAAATGCAACGCAACTCTTGTACTTTTCCCAAATGCAACGCAGCTCTTGTACTTTTTCCTAAATACAACGCAGCTCTTGTACATTTCCTAAATGCAACACAGCTCTTATACTTGTAATAAATAAATAAATAAAACGATGCTAATTGAGATTGGCAGACGCCTATCATTATCTCCCGCGAACAGACTCACCCAAACCGAAGCTCCTACTTGCATTTACTTTGTTCTCACTAATCACGAGTGACCCCTTCTTCAAATAAAACTTACGTATCTGTAGAAGCATACTAGACTCGATCTAACTTGTAACTACTGAACTAATGGAAAGACAATTCCTTCGACTGAACATTAATCAATTTACTGAATTCAAGTCCATAAATTGAATTTAAGTCAATAATATACTGAATTTTAGTCCATAAATAGAATGTAAGTCAATATATACTGAATTTAGTCCACAAATATAATTTAAGTCAATTATATACTGAATTCTAGTCCATCAATAGAATTTAAACCAAATCCTATACTGAATTCTTGTCCATAAATAGAATTTAAGTCAATTATATTCTGAATTCAAGTCCATAAATATAATTGAAGTGAAATATATACTGAATTCTAGTCCATCAATAGAATTTAAGTCAATTCTATAATGAATTCTTGTCCATAAATAGAATTTAAGTCAATTCTATACTGAATTCTAGTCCATAAATAGAATTTAAGTCAATTATATACTGAATTCTAGTCCATCAATAGGATTTAAGTCAATTCTATACTGAATTCTAGTCCATAAATAAAATTTAAGTCAATTATATACTGAATTCTAGTCCATCAATAGAATTTAAGTCAATTATATACTGAATTCTAGTCCATCAATAGAATTTCAGTCAATTCTATCCATAAATAGAATTTAAGTCAATTATATACTGAATTCTAGTCCATCAATAGAATTTAAACCAAATCCTATACTGAATTCTTGTCCATAAATAGAATTTAAGTCAATTATATTCTGAATTCAAGTCCATAAATAGAATTGAAGTGAATTATATACTGAATTCTAGTCCAGAAATAGAATTTAAGTCAATTCTATACTGAATTCTAGTCCACCAATAGCAGTTAACTGAATTATAAACTGAATTCTGGTTTGTCTTTAACTCAATTAAATGTAGTGAATTCTAGTCAATCAATAGAATTTAAGTCAAATTACTGATTTCTAGTCCATCGATAGTATTTAAGTCAATTTACTAAATTCTGGTCTGTTAATAGAATTTAAGTCAATTATATACTGAATTTTAGTATCAACTGTATAAAAGTATTTGTATTTAATGGAAACAGCAATAAAACCAATCAAAGGCATGATTGTCTCAAATTAAACATTAGAATATTATTACATTGTAATATTTTTTTTCATATTTCTTTTCCAGGACGAATGAAAGGACATATAGATTTTAAATCAATTTAAATATAATACTTTTTCAATGACTTACTTGGTTCAGGGTTTTCAATCGAATATTTTTTGAAAGTGCCTGCAATGCTAAAGTAATAAACTGAATTTTATCTCAAGAAATAAAATGTACAATTTTTTAATAGAAATGTTACGAACAGTTTTAACATATTTATTGCTTTGTAATACATGTTAATATATAAATGTAGAATATATAAAAATGAAGGCAACACATTTCATTTCACTATTTGAGTATGCCCTCCCATGTATAATTACGCAAATGTGATTAACAATAACGTATCAACAAAATATTTCACGGTGTGATAAGTTATACAATGAATGTCCACTTCACGTTAAAAATTCATTACATACATCATTATATTCTAGTACATGTACGATTTGTCATTCTTTATGTGCCATAATATTGTCACCTTGTTATAGTCCAGTACATTTGATATACACCAACGTAAGATATAAAACGTTGACCTCTTGGCAATGACAGATTTGCTGTAAACAACTATGCAAAAGCTTGTTAACACACTCATTATTCATCTAACACATTCTTTCATAAATAATATTATCAAACAAATCATAAAAAGCCATAATCTTACATTACATGAAAATTACTAAGGAACTCTTAATGACAGTTGCTCGTATTTAGTTTTAAATAATAATTCGTCAATACACGCGCATGCGCATCGTTGATTATCACAATTGTCTGCTCTACAGTTAAGAAGACACCATCTAAACAGCCCTGGCGTCCCATCCCATGGCTCTTTTGGGTCACACCAAAGCTCTGTACGCTGTGACAAACATTGGTCTTGTGTGGGAGTCCGACCGGCTAGAGGATTCATACCGGAAACGCTTCCATCTTGAAATGTACGTAATTTCCCGCCATTTCCAATACTTCCGGGTAATGTTTGATTAGCGTTTGACATGAGAACATTGTTCCCTGACATTGAGCCTACAGAAGTCCTGTTTACTGTTTGCAACCCTCTCATTTGGGCACTTGGTGAAGATCTGGTTAGATCAACAAACAGGACACCTGTATAGAACAGAGAAAGTTACATGTATATTATTGATCTAAAAATGACATAAAGATAACCTTCTTTTGGAAACCATAGATTTCTACTTTAATGTCACGATAAACATAATAAGATAACAACAAAAGGTACTTCACTGTAGTTAAATAGACTCCGGGATACTAAGTCCAGCTTGTACTTTAAATAGGTTAGAATTCGTTTTTCAAGAACTCGCATGAAAGAATATAAAGTCCATGAATAATTGGAAACAGTGATATAATATACGCAACAAGCTTCCCCATATGTAAAATATTATGTGAATTATTATGTGAATTCTCTCCAGTGAAATTCAATATTTGGACATCTACTATTTAAACTTAAAGGCCCATTACATCGGTGTCAGATAAGTGATTTGAAGTCGGTAACCTTAGCCAATTGGCCATTTCCTGCCCCCCCCCCCCCACCCCATCACTCAGTCACCCACGGTATTTATGGAAGATATTAAACAGTAAATATTTGATATAATTAATGTAAGAGGGTTGTATATTACTTGTATATAGTGATCAATCTGTCAGAATGAAAAACACATAAATTGAGATTTTTTTTAGATTTTAGGTCAATTGTCAACAAGATTAAGTTTTGTCATAATTAATGAAATTAATCTCTAAATTGAAAACAAATTTATTAATTACTTGATCCTGGAAGCTGTCTCACAGTAACCTGGTTATTAGCCGGGACATCCACTGGGGTTGGGTTAGGTATATCTAGAAAGAAAACACAAATTACTTGAAAACAGAGCAGCGTGAAATATACATATATGAATTTTTTTAAATCCCTGTTTTCCGTGTTTGGTAAGGGCCTCAGAAACTGGATCTAAAAGGAATTTACAGAATCGTGCTCGGATTTTATACCCAGTCTACTGAGCATGCGCCAAAGACGAGGCTGATATACAGGCTATTATAGCATAAAATCGGCTATTTTTCCCTCTTTTGCCCATGTTATAACGGGACCAAAACCATGGGTTAACATAGTCACGCGCTCTTGTTATAGCCCGGTTTCACCTATGCGCAATACATGCAGGGCCCAGTAAACAAACAAACAAAAAATGACGATTTGGCCTGTTTGCCAAAGAGTCATGCGCTCTTGTTGTATTGAAATTTATTGATTCGAGGGCCTCAGTCGCATATATTCAAGTAACTATGCCGGAAAAACGGCGTATAGACATCGGTGCTAATCTTGGTTGTCGCCCTTTCTAAGAAACGGACAGTTGTCAATGTAAACAAATACAGTAGAATCTACCTGTCATTCAGTTTAACACTCCGATTAACTTACAAAACTAGATAACACAAAATTAATATGAGAAAATGTTTTTTTATTTATGTTAATGTTGATAAATGCTCATTATATTTCTTTGCGAGAATAATGCTTAGTGCCTGATTTTTTTATAAACTTGTTTGCTTGAGAAAAAAAACCGATTCTGATATCACTGATCTTTTTTCTACCGTCAATCTGAAATCATTCTAAGAATTTCTGAGGGTCATGTTTTGTCTTGGGTAGAGGGTAGAGTAATGTAACGTTTTATTTTTTTTCTTAAGATAATAAATCTCCAAAGGCCAAGCTTTGTTAAATCAATTAAAATTCAAATTTTCGTTCGGTTCCGAGAATTTTCCAAGTTGTTGGCCCCGGAAAAATGAAACGGATACGTAAAACATAGAATTGGATAAATACCGTCCAAGCACAAGAATTTTATGTAATTGTGTTTTGTATAAACTATATATCACGAATTTGTTTGAAAATTTTATGCTATAATAGCGTCAACGCACGTTTATTTCGTGTTATAAAGTCTGCAGAGTCCCTCAGAACTGTTGGAGCCCTCGCCCTACCGGGCTAGGGCACCAACCGTTCCTCGGGACTCTGCAGACGTTATAACACGGAAAAACGTGCGTTAACCCTATATTGCAAAACTAGTGTGACATATTGTTTAAAAATAGTTTTCGCTCAAGCGCTTAAACCTAATATTATTCTATTGTTTCTTTTCTGTATAGGTAGAAAAAAAGACATTATTTACCGTCATAAAAATGTTATTGTCAGATTTTGACGGTGTCATTCGGTCATTGACAGCTAAAATATTGTGCAAACAAACGTTTTAGAAGTATTGCATTCTTTTTTGAAAAGAAATATAAAGGTACTATTTTTTTCATTACATTTTGGTGTAATTATTCAAGTATTCGGATCTTATTGGTTTTCAGATTTTGTTAAAAAGTAAAACGTTCGTTGCCTTTCATATGACATCTTATTTTCCGTTTTGTAACTCACGAATTAGACGACAGTACTAGTGCGACAATCATAAATTGTTTTTGTAGAAGATAATTATTTTAGCAATTACTGAAATCAGCTTTTTCTATAAAACTGAACATTGTAGATTTCCGTTGTTTAATGAAAGGTAACAAACAAAAAATATTACATAGATCTACACACATCGTGATTTTTTCCCTGTGCGCCTCTGTATTTCAATTATTTTCTAGACTAGTGCCACATAAAAATTTACGAAATGTAAAGCAATGATTTTCCTTTTCAAGTTCGTTTTATTCAAACGCAAGACCGGAAACACGTCATCAGAATTTGAAAATTGAGGCTGTGCAAATTCGATTATTTAACTTCCGTCACATTTACGTTCTGTGGTACAAACATTAAATATTTAACCTAAAATGGTCAGAGTCATGTTTAATTCTAAAGCAGTTAGCTAAACCTCTGATTTTAGTTTATTTATCTGACTTCTCGAGTACCATATACTAAGCCTGCTCAATGACATTAATTACATACAGTTTGAAGAATATGAGGAGAAAGAAATACTTTATAGACAATAGTATCACTCACCTATATTCATTCCTACTGTAGGGTCTTCAAATGGTCTTATGTCAGACATAATTACCCTCATATTTCCGATGGCCGGATTCGATTCAGTTCCGGGAGCAAAATTAAGACGGCTCAGGGGTACAGGAATACCCATACTTCTTCCCCTTGTTTGAAGTTCAACTCTTGGTTCAGCACGCGGAGGTGATGTTTGAACTGCCCGGATATCCGGTTGAGGTATTTCGTTAGTTATAGGTGACCTAGATAGTTGTCTTCTGTCTTCACGCATCAGTAACGGCGGGGGTTCTCCAGCAATTATTTGGTTGATACCTTGTGGTCCAACAATCTCGTTTAATACTGGTTGAGCTATTAAAGTCGCAAGCACGTCATCGCTTATACCAAAATTTAAATCGAAATTAGGCCTGCGTTGAGACAATTGATTTGTTTGACCTCCGCGATTGGAATTAGTTCCTGACTGAACTTGAGGTCGACGTCGCCTCTCTGCTTGCAATGCCATAATACGGTCTCTGAGCCTCTGTCTCCTGGTGTCTCTTAGCCGAGGATCAAGCGGTGTTAATTCAGGTCCACTTATTCTACCCATAGCCATCAGTCTTTCAATTAATCTAGGGTCTACACATGAACATTCGCATGGAATAGAGCAGGACCTACCCTGGCACCTGCCATCACACATATAAGCGCCCCGACGATCTTGATTCCTAGGCCATGAATAACACCTTATAGAGCGCGGTGGGGCACATAGCGGATTGATATTTGTGCCTGTGCGTTGTAGCTGTTGACCGGAAGTCACTCTGGTGGGACTTAAACCACGTGTTATCATTCCGGTTCTAGGATCCCTTCTAGGAACATTACGTAAACTTTCCTGAAAGTTTCTTGCCCGAGGAATAGCTCCGGAACTGCGTTGTAAGTTTTGTAGATTTACCGTGGCTCTTCTCTGAAAACAGAAGGAAAGTTAGAATCTTAAATGGAATCAAACAAAAAAGAGAAACAAATAAGCCCTAGGTATTAACATGGAGCTAAATATATATGTGGTATTAACATTTTATTTGCTATGAAAAACGGAAGATTATGATATAGTATGTTTAATAGCACTGGTTCAGTTTCGTTAACTAATTATTCCTGATTATAAACTGATAAAATCATCTTTTTTTTTCACACCAGTTTAACACAGATCTGTTAAGTTTGATGTACTCCCTCCTAACAACAACAAAAACAACACAGAAAAACGCCCAGGAACCAACCTTCTCCACCCAATATTTGAAAAAAACCCAGCCAGAAACATGTAAATAATCAAATGAAATTTGTAATTGTATGAATACTATGCTTACAAAAAAAAACCAATCGACATGTACATGTCTACGTTAATTGAGATCGTAATGTGTGACACAAATAAACAGTATTCATACAATGTAAGACAGAAAATTATAGGGAAAAATAATTATAATATTTCTGCTACACGTCAACTATTTGAATATTTAAAGATCGCAATTAATTGTAATTATACCACTGAAAGAAATACTATGACCAAAGTGACGTTATGCTCATTGTTTTCTATTTCAAGTCGAGTTGGATTTGTAATATGTTTCATGAGATTGGCTATTGTAATGGTGATTGACCAATATTTGATAGGATAATATACATAAACTACGTAAATTGTAAAAAGACTGTCCCAATCATTTTAAGGTAGTACACCCCTAATGGGCACTATAAGGAATTGTAAATTTGACAACATAGGACAGTTATTTGCCTTAAATGTCACCTGTATGCAAAATTTAAACAAAATTTACCGTGTGGTTTATGAGTTATGGACATTTTTATGAACTAAAACTTTGCCATTAGAAGGGATTTTTTTCAGAAATGAGGAAACTCTAAATAATCTATAATATCATCATTTATGAAAAATGTTTTCCTTTTTGCTCATTGTTAAGAAATAAATAATGACATTAAGGTAACAAATTAAACAAGCAAAATGATTGTTTTTAAACGAAATGTTTTTAATATGTATAAAAATGTAACCCTACCCCACCCACTTTTAACACTAATTTGACCATTTCCCTTTGTAAAAAGCCTTATTTAAAATATCCCTTAAATTTTTCAAAATGAGGGGCTATTTTCAAAGTTTGCCTAAATTTTCTTTAATGTATAGTGGTTGGTCTTGCAAAATATAAAATACTTTTACCGTTTAGTTTTTATTTTATTAAACTTTGAAAATATCTGGTATCATATTTGCTATTAAATTTGGCATTATTTAGTAAATAAATACCTACAATAATTATATAATTAAAATAATAATCTGAGAGATTAATAAAAGATGTTAAAAAGAAAAAAAAGAAAGAAAAAAAAATTGCCCCCATCTGGGGTTTGAACCCACGCCCCCTCAGTTTCAATACACTTTACAGTGATTTTAGCCTATTTGAATACTCTTCAAAGTGGAGACAGTGCATTAGGGGTGTACTACCTTAAGAACTGAACGTTATGATACATTCTCAACGTTATTTATAGAATTTTCCGTTGTTCATGAAGATTATTGATCTTTTTTTATACCAAATTATAAAATTGAACAAAATTATGGCTTGAGTTACTATGATTATATATTGTCACTTATTATCATTAACGATTAAAACTTTACAGACTTTTATGATGGACAAAGTTTTTACATTGAGATGTAGAATAATGTATTCATGCAATAATGTATTAAACTATTCATTCACCTGTGGACTACTTCTCCGCAACTGAACTAAACTTCTACGTGAACTGTCACCTCTTCGCACCTGAGGAGACGTGCCACCTTGCAATGAATTTCCTCTGCGTTGAGGGGAAGTGACAAGTTGAACTAAGTTTCGTCTGCGTTGGGAGGAGGTACCCCGTTGAATAGTGCTTCCTCTTTGAGAAGGGGAAGTGACTCTTTGAACTCCATTTCCCCTGCGTTGTTGTGAACCAATTGTCTGAGCATCTGTTCCTCGTTGTTGCAAGGAAGTTATTCCCTGTATGTCATTTCCTCTAGGGTTTAGAGAGGTAAATCGTTGGTCGAGGGAAGAAATACGTTGATCAGGGGAAGTAATACGTTGATCAAGGGAAGAAACTCGTTGATCAAGGGAAGAAATGCGTTGATCAGCGGATGTACCACGTTGATCAGGGGAAGTAACACGTTGATCAAGGGAAGTAACGCGTTGGCCATCAATTATCCTACGCTGTTGATCTTGTGTTCCTTGTCGAGACAGAATTTGTGGATTTTCTAACCTGGTCATATTTTGTGAATTCACAGTTACTATGGCAGTACAGATATAGATAAATAAAACTACGGATAAATCTTTTCCCGCCATTTTTCACGTCAAAAATATATATCCTTCCGTTTTAAAACACAATTATTTCATCTCACAAAATGAAAAAAAATAGATATCCTTCCGTTTTAAAACACAATTATTTCATCACACAAAATGAACATAAATATTTTAAAAATCATTATTAGAAAATGATGTTATTTTATCAAATAGTTTCCATCTTTTTCATATTAAAGCGTTTATTTTATACATTTTTAAAATCACAATAAAAAAATTTCTCACAAAAATATTTGTACAGATTTATGTCATATTAAAAACATCATTTCTAGTATTTTTTGCCGAAAAAAAAACTCTTCAAAATATTGTCCAAGAAAAAAATCGAACAGCTGAAATCCAATTCGTAATAAACAATCAACACAACTCGTTCAAATAACTTGGTATAAAGTCTATGTTTTTTTACATACTTAGTTTAATTACATAGGAAAAAATAACAATGCATAATTAATCACTTTTTCGTAATAATATATGAATTAATTGTGGTGCAGTTTAACATCGTGTCCGTCACGCTTTTATACATGATATATATTACGATACAATATTGATGGTGAAGCCTCGATGTTAATTACATTATGTGTCAAAATATGTCCTGATGACTGACCGTTAAGCAATTTGTGTCAAAACAATCATATAATTATTGAATTGTTTCTCTTTATTACTGGACCAATTAGTCCATTATTGCACATATATACAGCAATATTTTATACACGGTTATATAATGTGTTTTTATAGTTCTGCACTCAATTGCAACATTACCCTCTATATTAATACAGATAATGATGTTGATGATGATGATGACGACGATGATGATGATGATGATGATGATGATGATGATGATGATGATGATGATGATGATGATGATGATGATGATGATGATGATGACGATGATGATGATGACGACGACGACGATGACGATGATGATGATGATGATGATGATGATGATGATGATGATGATGTTGATGATGATGATGATGATGATGATGATGATGATGATGATGATGATGATGATGATGATGATGATGATGATGATGATGATGATGATGATGATGATGATGATGATGATGATGACGATGATGATGATGACGACGATGATGATGATGATGATGATGATGATGATGATGATGATGATGATGATGATGATGATGATGATGATGATGATGATGATGATGATGATGATGATGATGATGATATGATGATGATGATGATGATGATGATGATGATGATGATGATGATGATGATGATGATGATGCGCGTACTGATTGCTAAAACGGATAAAAATCCCGCTTGAAATAGTAGAATAATATTTTGAACATACTTACAAAATTCATGTGTTTAAAACAGCAGAGACATTTTATGTTACCACTCTTTCGAGAATCAACCATAAGTTCATGAAACCAACATTTAAAAAAAATGTTCCATAAGATAAAGCTTTATTCTATTTAATTTAAAAAAATAGGTCATGATGTTTTATTTCACACCATTTATCCTTTGACTTCTTTATGTGACGTATGGTCGGTTGTCGTTTGCATGTATACATTCGGTAAAATATGGTATTAAAGCAGCCTTCAGCTTTTATTATCTGTTGGAAAACAATTGTTGTTTCAAACTAAGTATTTCAGTAATTTTATCTTGGGAAAGTGCATCTTATCACTGTAAAGCCTTTTTTTCAAAACTATATTCCAGGAGATATTCATAACGCGACAGTGGCGTTTGTTTTCTAAAAATAGAAATTAAATATACTAGAGAGCGAATCAGCAGATAGGTTTCCTTATTGTTTATGTATTATTTCATTTTCCATCTTAATTCTTTTGATTTGAAAATTATATGAAACGATTTATCTAAAATTAACATACGGGTATTTAACCTTTAGAAAAGCTGAAGGCCGCTGTAAATGGGTGTAGTTATGAGTGAATACCGTATATACATGTCTTAATGATAATAAAAATAATAATAATAATAATAATAATAATAATAATAATAATAATAATAATATCTTTATTTAAAGAAGGTTACACATTAAGAACATACAATAACAATCATATATGTCTTATTTCCAATGTGGCCTCTGAAATAGAAAATAACAACAACAACAACAACAACAGGATATGCATAGGTAGAAAAAGCAATGTATAATATGTAATTTTAAGAATAATACGACTCATATACTTTGAGTGTATTAAACTAAATTTATTTGACGAGTTGAATAAAATATTTTAATCTCTAGCGAGCATGATATTATTTTATTCAAAATTGTTGAAAATGTTAGTATTGGAGCTATACGAATGTAAAATACCCAAAATTAGAAAAGACAGTAATATATAATGATTGTGTTATTGTCGCGCAAAAACAGTGTGACATTACATTTTAACACTCAAAATATATGCTTTATACTTAATTCTGAATTTATAAGCCCTTTGTAAAAAGATAACTTCCGTGGAATAAACTTCTGTTGTTGTTTTTTTCAATTATGGTTAAGTGGTTTTTATTTTTGAAATTATTTTTATTATCATTATTATCATTAATTTTTCGTAATTTCTTTATGAAATAATTTGTTTTCAATAATATTATCAGAGTGTATATTGACCGTCACTTGCGATTGGTACATTTCATAACAATTCTTATTTGCCTTGTTAAAGAGGGGGGGGGGGGGGCATATTTCCATGCAACCGAGTTTGAATGATTTATGTTTGATGATGGACTCTAACATTCTCAACAAAATTTAGTTTTTTGAAGCCTTTCAAAAGTATTGTCGATATTTTTACCTTTATATTTGGTTTGCCAGTTGTCCAATAACTTTATCATCAGTAAACCGCGACAGACAGAAACTTGAAATGTGTTTTGATTATAAGGATCTTACAACGGCTGCCGGTACAGACAGGAATGTTTAGTTCGAGGGTAACTGATTACGGCAGGAACTCTGCCGAGTTTCCACTAAACAGCTACCCGAGAGCTAGATATTCTGTGACGACAGCCGGTGTTTGATTCTTTTTCTTGCATATTAATTATTAATCATATTATTAAGAAAATACGAAAACTGATATCTTCATTTCTTAAAGTAGCGTATGAATTTATATGTTTATTCATGACGGCAAAATGACGTTATTCTAAGAACGCAATTCATACATAAAAGGCGCGCGGGAATGACGTCATTTAAAGCACGAGACTTGTCTTACATGGGTAGTAAGCACCGGTGTAAACAGTAGATAATCCTGCCTGATATGCAAGAAAATACTAGTACATTCTTGCACATCAATTGTGATTCCAATCAATATAAAATTTCATTTTTTTTTGAAAATTATTGCAGGTAAAAAAAGTGTCTTCGAACTGACTAAAGACGGACGGGCATGTATACATGCAATGCCCTGTGGACAGCTAAATTGTAAACAAGCCTCTCCTTCGACAGTAGTGATTTATGTGAACAAAATTCTGACTACGGAAACAATAGGCGACATTACAGTTCGCCAAAGTTTGTCTGCCAATGAAATCGCTCTATTTTATTTAAATTTTGCCAAAATATTTACCATACAGTACTGTAACTCAACTGTATGTATTAAATTTATACGTTAAATGAGCCGATTTAATGGACTCCGCCTATTTACATAATACACATGCGTGCTCATTATTTTGTTACGCCTCTCGTGTTTGTAAACATTAAACACGTGCTTCAAGTAGCCGTTTTATGGCAATGATGATGGAAAAGGTGTTTTGAATATAACTTAAGGATTTTAACGTTCTTTTATGGAGTAATGGGGAGAATTTGGCCAGAATTAAAAATCATTACCTTTCACCTTTTAATATACATGTACAACGAATCCACAGAAATATGTTTAAACCAAGAACTTAAAAACATAATCCATACAAAACCATATGATATATTAGTAATAGTACGCCCGATGTCCATCAGAAATCTTTCACAATAATTGGCAGTGTTTCTGACATTAATATAAGTCAACGTGATAGAAATACATGTATTATTATAACCACCTGCAGCAAAAAAACAAAACAAAAAAAAGCAGTTAACATTATCAATATTGCAAATGCTGCCATATCATATTTCAAGAATTATTATATTAATAATTATGATTAAAATCAATTCAGAAAAAAATAGTTGATGTTCCAATATCAATTTTATTTAACAGTTGTTTATTTTGAAAACACTTTCAATAGCGACATAGCAATTATATAACTGTTTTACAAATACATACATGTATCTACACACAATTTCTGTTTTAAATTTCTACATAAAAGTATATTGTAATTTCCTGGCAAACATTATAATTTTATGATAAAACTTCTGGCATTAAAACGGTCAAATGTTATGCGCTACTTAAATGTTATGTGTAGTTATGTGGCAGAGTTTTTAGGCACAAAGGACATACCTTCTTGTATAGTTCGCCAAAGTGTGTGTTTCAATGAATTCGCTCTATTTTGTTTAAATTTTGCCGAAATATTTACCATACAGTGCTGTTACTCAACTGTATGTATTAAATTTATACGTTAAATGAGAGGATTTAATGGACCCCGTCTTTTACATAGTTCGTTGTTAAAACTTATAACCTATAACCTATACAAAAAAGTTTCTTTTTTTTTCTCACGTCTGCAACCATCCATGCCTTAAGCATCAGCTTAATTATTTTCAGCAGTAAGTACACAGTACATTTACTGTAAGTCTATACTACTAAATATGTCTGTGTTATTGCAAATTACCAGCACCACGTGTAAAAAAAACAATAAAATATCAATGACATTGATGATGGATTTTTGATATAAGATCTTAGGAACATAGATATGTCTTATGTCTGATTCTTTTGTCTTTATTTGTAACATTTGTTTACAAAACACGATGTATGTTATTTCATGTAAACGTACTACCAGTCATTCACACGAGTTAAAAAAGATTTATAAACAATGAAGTACAATGATACAAGAGAAATAAACACAGGATATTTCTTCATCGAGTCTTATGAAAATAAATATTTACATGA